TGATGGGCTAAGGTATCCTTCTCGTGCACTGAAGTCTCTTGCATAAATGGATAAAGCAAACGGACAGTGTTTAGTAATTCGACCAGTGTGATTTTTCATCGATGTGGAAAATCGAACATCCTCTGCTCACGAACTTGGAGCTATACCAGTACCCTAGCCACCCATCGCAGCAGCTGCAGGATCACCGAGTGTGTAGTCTGTAGCGTCCAGATAGAGGTTATCGTAAGCTCAGCAACTGCAGTTGGATCCCTATTCGGGTTTCAGGAATGCGAAATACGTCAATCTCAAGGGTGCCTAAAGATTGTTGGTCGATTTGCCTGGGGATTCTCGTGTCAAACGCTGCTGATTAGGTGATTGAAGACTGAACTGGGGACGTAGAGTGGTGGATGCGAGCGTGCACTGTGTCAAGTCCATAGACACCTGACTCACCTGACCTATGGCTGGGATCTACATAGGAGTGATTGTCAGGTGGGACAGGACGGGAGTTGAGATATGCTGATTAAGAAAGCTGGGAAGCGTCAGCATTTTTTCGGTTGTCTGCCCCGCTTTATTCAACGAAGAAGGCGACCTGGTTGATGTCATCAGGTAGTATAATCTGTAATGTTTATGTTTGTATGTGGACTGAGACACTTCCGGGGCGCCCGAATCCAGACAGGAGGACGATCAATCAAGGTCTCTCGTCCAAAGTCTGACCTCAACACTGGGATAGTTGGCGTCAGACTAGGCGAGTAGCTCAAATTTTAAGGAAATAATTACCAAACTGGCTCAAAATTCCAACCTGGAGGGATTCGAGACCGTTTGTCAGACCCTATCCAGTGACCCATTTGTAAGAAGATACTGTGATGCTGAATGGACAGACTCCAGCTCAATAAATAAACCATCGCACCACGATAAGACCCGGTCTTTTGGGCCAGGAATCGTTCGTTGTAAACCTTAAATTATACCGAAGCATGCCCACTAATATCAGAAACGCACGTTTCTGCGTGCTTTCCTCTCTCTTGCAGATAAACCTTCCTGTTTGGACTCACACCACGCATCACTCTCTAACAGATATGGTGGGGATACGGTAGCAAATAGCATAGCATCCACGTTGTCCAATGTGGAAACTATAGTCACTTGTTCTTCGACAAATGGCACGGCATGCGTTCAGATACCTTGGCTCACAGTGTTGGTCAATCGGATCGATGGGGTTTGAGCACACTGAAGATATCCATCTGATTTATTATGCTTCCGGTTTAGCTTCTGCCGGGATTTGTGCACTTAAGAGTGGGTGGTCATCGATCGTTCATCTGCAACGGATATACACCTAGTACGGTTAGTGACAGTCAGGTTAGTTCAAGTAGAAGAGCCGCACAAGTTTCGCTTAACACGGTATTCACACTCGATAATGTTGCTCCACAGTGCAGCTCAAGTATGTAGGTGAAACAAGATCTTAAACGGTAAAGCGGAGTTAGGCTGTACTAGAATGCACACTGGGTTGAGACAAACGATAGAATCACATATCAGACACGCTTCTGCACATCACGAGGCTAGTTATTTGACTCTCAGACAAAAAATCTTCACTCTCCGTGGTGCTTCAGATAATTTTGAGCCTAGAGGAAATACGTCGATGCGGCTGTCTGGTCCCAACAAGCTACGATAGTTTTCCAATACAACTGACTGACTTCTGTTTAGCTTTCGCCTAACTGTTCTCCAGTGTCCCACCGGTAGACCAAATTAACATCAAACGAAATATTCTTCCCCCCGGGATAAAAAGCTTGAAATAACACATTTGAATCCAATGCTCAACGATGATTCATAATAACCACTCCATGCTTCGCGGAACTCAATTATTCCCCCCCCCCCCGGGATAAAAAGCTTGAAATAACACATTTGAATCCAATGCTCAACGATGATTCATAATAACCACTCCATGCTTCGCGGAACTCAATCACGGGCATATGAATAGAGCATAGTACGCCATAGGACTTTTTGTCATGAAAACCGAACTTTCAGTTGCCACCCACCAATTAGGTCGATCTAATATCCCTCGATCAAGAAACTCGTCATTCTTCCCTGAAAACAGGGAGACATGTAATAGTTCAAACCCCGGCACGGTCATGGATATGCAATGCTGCTGGTAAGAGCAAAACTCAGATCGGATGCTTCTCCCTTTTGTTGCGGACTCACCAGAATAACTGCGCCAGAACTCAAGGACTACTTTTCAAAAGACATTGGTGTGAACGTGAATAGTGTCAATGTGGGATGAACTAAAAGTGGAATTAAAGGAACAAGGATATTCTTCCATCTTAAAGAACAGATAGAAAGCTTTTCTGATGATTGGTTCAGCAAGCTTCGACCTGGAGGGTCTCTGGAATAAAATCACACCCATTTACTAAACAGGTGGCGATGGCGTTGTGGTAGTCGCTAGTACTGTGCACATTATTACTCAAAAACATGAGGAGAAGCACACCCAACACGATAGTAAGGTGTCCAGATTACTTCTCGACCTTGTGAGTAGTGACAGGTGAAATGTATGTGCATTCAGGATAACTGATCGTGAAGAAGCTCTTTGTAACTCTCATGAGTTACTGATACCAATATACCAATATACCAATATATGGAAAGCCAGAACTGGCGAGGAATATGGATCAATTTTATTTAGTTTAGTAAGTATATTATACCGACGAACTAGACTCTGGGGGAAAATCGCAAAAAGCAGCGAAAAATTGTGATTCACGTTGATGTAACATCTATGGGGTGACCAATATGTCTGTCCTAACAAGAAAAACGCATTTTTCCGTGCCCAATTCAGAGTGACGCAAGTACAAGTGGACAAATTTTTGACGTGGGAGTGTTATCAAAGAGAGTACGAAACGTCTGGGTACTGCTGGTTCGACTCGCCTTCCAGGATTGAATCCACGTGACCCCGTTTGTGCGTGGTTCGAGACAACTCGAAATACCAACGATACCAATGGCATCGTTGTCGTCAGTTTCCATCCAGTGTCTGCAGATGTAGACACTTCAGAATGATTGTAATAGGCCAGCACTAAGCCCCTTTCCTATTCACTCTTGTTTTCTATTCAAATAAATTATGATTGTGCGGCAGCGTAACCCCACTATTTAAACATTGATGTTTTGCTGTCGATGATGAGCACTTGGCTCTTTGCTTCTTTGTTTTTCCCCGCTTAACAATATGGTTGTTTTAACAGACATCAACGGATGTAAACAAGGACGCACACGTAGAGCAGTCTCTCTATGAGGAAATGAAAATGCTTTGTCAATGCGCTTACTAAAAAAGGCAACATGTATGACGTCAATTCCAGTCGGTTGACGGAAATCTAACTGGTCAAAACATGCCTTGCTAGTTTATGGCAGAGTATGTTGGTTTGATCCATCATTCATCATTCCTGCACACTTTACAGTTTGATACGCTAGTATCATCAAGATGATACACGTGTGCAATGAATATCCGTTCAAAAAAGACGAGTCACCACCGTAACCTATGTGTTACCTGAACAAGAACTTCAAAAGAACATAAGTGTATCAGGAAGATATGTACTACTATAAAAGGCTGTGGTAGATGTTAGTAACTATACAACCATCCGGGTGTTGTGCGTTTTAGCTCGTGACCCTATTAGAGTTCATGGGAATCTTCGTGCTTGTGACACCATCCACCTAGTGTGACAGCGGGGTGACAAATCTAGGACCACTTCAGCAGTACGGTGAGAAACCATGATTGGTGAAAGATTAAAACTTCACTTGCTTTTATACCACCTACAACCGACCAGTTCTCATCTGGGTTCGCAGTTTGTTCACCTCATTGCTCTACCTTATACCGATCCACCGGCAGATGCGCTCAAATGAACAAGTCGAGTCTGTCACAAATAAGGACCACACAAACCGAAGTAGCTGAGAACAGTTATGGCACAAAACGAACAACGACAGATCAAGAATGAACCAATTGCCAAGCATCTGGTATTCACAGGTCACTCAGTCGGCTAGCCAAACGGCAAGAACCCGCGGCAACTGGGTATCGGTAAGGCTCATCTGATCCAATCTAGTCATCCAACATTACGTGCACAAAAGTATCGACCTTGGAATCGACTTTTCGTTAGTTTGTGAATCCCATTGCAATGTCATTCCACTGTAAATGTATTTTACGTGGATGGACACCCCGAGACGGTCCACATCAATGGTTTGAGACATTGTCAGACATGGCCCAGTCGCGCCCCAAATGACGCTCGTGCATCCGAGCTATTGCCTTCAATGCATAGCTCCTTTCTCATTCCTCCCACTTGCCAGTCCCCTGACAGTGCTGGATTTATGCACCAATTTATCATCTCCCGCCTGCAATGCGCAGCTACCTACCCCCTACTGCGGCAGCTACAATCACCGTACGACGAGTACGCGGTTATTACAGCTGACGGTGGTGATGATGGTGATGATCTCACGTGGCGGCCAATGCAAGTCACTAAAGTGGTAACATTTATCTGGTTTTTGCTGTCTCGGTAAAAGGGAGCAGAGAGACTCAGTGATTTGAGAATCGAAGTCCACAGGGACGGGATTGCACTTATCGATCTCCGAATAGGATAATTCTCCTTCGGAGTTCTAGGAGTGACCAACTCCTGATGTAGCACCAGACATAAATACATGTTTCGATCATTGGTGTCAAACTTAACCTATCCAGAATGATCTAAAATAAACTATTGAAGAATATCGCCCAGCTATGGACAGGTAAACAAATGCCCTTGTACAACTGTCGTTTTGAATGTTACAGACTCAGATCCTCAAAAGGCACCGACGATGATTTCGAATTTGTAACGAGATAGTTGTTCGGTGCTTCTTTGTTTTTCAACAAGAAGTGACTGCGTGGCGGGGAGAAAATTCAAAATCTTCAATCACAGAAAACAATACAGACACACGTGTGACGCTAAGTTTTCCGACGAACATGTTTGACACTGATAATAACAACTAAAAAACACAGTACGAAGTTGCGTATGAGGGAAGGAAGAACTCACTGTATGTCTGTTCATCATTTTCTGTTGGGCATCCCAAAAACGAAACCGCCGCTCCACGTAAAACATGTATTCTTTCACGCTGTGGAACGCAGCTTCGGTGTTGACCTGAGTGTGATGAGGATAGGAGAGTGTTGCAAATGCGAAACAGGAAATCAAACAGCATTTGACGTCCAAAAGGAACGCGGGAATAACTATCCCACTTTATATGCACTAGAACGCCATACTGTTTCATTTTCTTTCGGAAATTCAGCCAGATGAAAGCTTCCAACCCTGTTTTTGTACATCAGACGGACCAAGAGAAATCGTTCAAAAAGCCTTTGACTACCAGGTCCACACGCCCCTTGATTACACATGCGAAAATGGTTGATTTTATCCAAAGCCTACCGGTTGAGCTGGCCGGATGGAAAATATATCAAAACTTTGGGAATCACCCAGTTCTTGTTAAAATAGCATACCACTGCGTTTGAAGCCGACGTTCTGGTGTATAGCAAGCTCTCGATCAGGCTTGGCATCTTACCGGATAATCCACTGCACCAGTCATGTTATCTTAACATCTAAGGGAAACCCCTCTGTGGCGAATTATACTTCTTCACACAAACGTCCCTGGAGCGACCAGGATTAAGAGGTAATCAGTATGAAGTTCAACGACTATATATTATCGCGTTCGTTTCAGCAAAAGTGGTAAACTGGGTCGTGAGCGTCGAAACTTAGAGAGAGGAAAGCTGGCCACATGTAATTCACCAACATTTCACTAGCGAATCTAAGCGGATCCTTTGAGGAGATCAGAGGAGCTGGTGCATCTGAGAACTAAACTGAAGCAAAGCTGGACTGTTATGTAGTCCGGCATGGGGCTAGAATTCGCGAAGATCTTCGTGGAATAATACATGTATCTTTGTTGGTGTGGCAGGTCACGTGTACGGAGGTAAGAATCTTCGAAACTAGGTTGCCTACACCTACCTGGGGCCTCAAAACTGCTTCAAAACTAATGACTTACCAACCCAACAGTCTAGCTAGATTCATAATGTTACCAAGGACCGATGAGAATGAAACGTGTTCTGTAATCCCGCTACAACATAGGTCTCAGGAATACAGGCATCATTGCAGTGCACGGATCACTAGCTTACATGTGACATTCGACACAGATGCAAATTCAGGATAGTCAACTGAAAGGTTACGAGTCAACTAAGCATTCAACATCGTTGAACGAATCACGTTAATGCAGGAGAATGGCGCTAAAACACGAAAGTTGCTCACACATTTCCAGCCGGTCGTCAGTAGTTGAAATATCTAGGGTTAGAAGCTGAAAGGTGGTCGTGAGTCTGAGAATCCAGCCAGAGACCACTAATAAGGAAACATTAGCCTGTTGGTTATAAACCTGTAGAGTCCTCAAGTTTTCCGGAGGAATAAAGGCCACAGAGGCCTATAACAGTGACAACGAGCGTCTCGTCCTGTGTTTAGAACAAGTAGCATCCACTTTCCCGTGTAAGTTTGTTTTCTTGCTGATCACATCTTCAATCTGGACACAGTCCCGTTACAGAGTAATAGGCTAGTTGTCAAATGAGTAAAAACTACTCATTAACATTTATGAGTGAATGATAGTCATGCAAACTCCCTCAACCTCCAAGCTGAACCGTTTTCGAGACACCTGGAGACTGAAAACCCCGAATTTCCAATGTCTAAACGAATAACTCAAATGGGTGCCGGTTCTATTCATCCACTTAAACCAGCCTTTCACTGTCGAACCAAAAGGAATCTTTGAGAAGTTTGTTAGATGTATTGGAGACTAGAAAACGTGAGCTAATATAGACGCGGAACAGAATCGATGAACTTTTCTCTGCAGAACTTAACCAAAATTTCACACTGAACTCCACAGGACTGACAAATTACTCACAAATCGTTTGCACGCCTTTCAACTAAGGTGGCAGGGAAACAAAGTTCACGCAGTATCAACATCTCATTAACCGCTCAGTAGGAAAACAACAATTGGGGAGAGAAGGACCAAACTACGGACGGAACCGATGCATGAATAAACCAATTCTGTCGACCTCCTGGGCAAACTACGGACACGTTTCAGGGACTGAGAATGGTTAGAATTATTCGCTATCCAATAGTCAGCAAGACCTCACTAAACGCCAGCAGTTTCAGAGTGAAGACTGAAAAGTGTTCTGAGATTGACCTAATGGTCGCGCGTTTGGAACCAATTTGTGATCAATGAGACAGGTTTCCGAGCTCCAACTTATCCATCTATCGGTTTAAATGCAAACGCGTTCCTCCGTAAACAACCATAAAATGCGAAAAATTGCGGGGTGCGTTGCACAGACCCTATGGTCATATGGCTGCAGTATCTATCTGAGGTGAAAGTGAAATTCAGGCGTATCGCGCATGCTGAGTTGGCTGAGAATTCAAACCTATACAGCGAACTGAGACTGAGACAGCCATTCACAGTAGAGGCTTAACCAAGAGTCCATGTATACAATTTATAGACGAAAAGACGCGAACACCAAGCTTTCCAGAGAAAATGTTGAAAGCATTACCACCAATCGGTGGTTAGTTCAGCTAAAACGATACGCAATGAACGGGAGTGGGATTGAAAATAAAAGATTCAAGCATACAGAGCAGGAGTCCGTGACCGGTTAAGAACGAATATCTGTGTAGAGGTGGATGCTACTGATGACACGTGCGAGTAGTATGTGGTTTTCTCGCAACTCCAGCTTGATCTAATGGAAGGTGGGATTTATTACAGAATTTGCTTTACATCGTTCGTTTGCAACTGCGTGATAGTCAATGAATATCCAGGAAAGTACAAGAAGACGCGTTCAAGAAGAAGACGGATAATCAGTTTCCAAAAACAACGTGCATATGAGAGCTTGACTTTCCTGACCAGCAGTTTGTAAATTTTTATTTGGTGTTTCCTAATAAATAACTCCAAGGCGGAGTGCTATCCTCCTTGCACCTGTGGACGCACACTTCACCCATGAAACGGAGCCAATGAAAACACTGTGGCAACTTACAGGCCGCTAGAGCCATGTATTAAGGCTTCAACCAGAAGGCGAAGAGCAGAAATCGGTGGAACAAACTAATGTCGAAGTTTGATCCGCGGATATTGTAAAGTGTGAATTCGAAACATGAGAAAGCAGGACGACGTATACCAATAGCTTGAAGTTTCGCGCTTTTTTGATAAGTGGGACACTGGTATCGGGACTAACAGGCTTGGGGATAGAGTATACACAGCGACTACAAACTGGTTTCCCCCTAGGAGATGGCGTGGTCCACTTCGCTGACAAGTCATTGTTTGACTGCCTCTGGCTCGTTTCCGCCCTTCACGTGGTTGTACGAAAAGAACCCTTCGAGGAATTCGGTCGACTGGCATACGGAGAACCCAGCCAAGCCAGTGCAACCTATGCAACGTGATCAGTTCATCTATTGAGGGTGTTATTTCTCTACAAATACCATTGGACGAACTTCAACATTGTTGATCCAGTGTTCCGACCAGAATTGGGCAATGCTCCGAAGACATCGATGGCTAAACACTGAAAGTCTTTTGAAGTCCTCGGCGCGCAGTGGCCAGCTTTCTGAACCGGAACAGTAATGTGGAGCGCACCGCAGCATTTACAGAGAAGCTGATGTCACGCCTACGCCACATGTGACGCAGGTTCACAAAAGCTGCTCTGGTCTTCCCAATCCGGATGGAACTATCATCTACCATACATACACACACATACCTGGTTTGCCTGAAACAACAATAATCTGTATTTTCGATGAACTCAATGGTTCATCAACTTTCAAGGCACTGTTTGGTCGACAAAATATTCCACAGTTTACTGTAATATACCCATATATTACCTCACCATAAGCGAACCGGCTTCCGTATTGTTGAAGGACTTTATTCAATCAACAGTAAGTTGTACGGAACGATTTCGTTTGAGGATTGCTCGTGCAAAACATACAGTCATAAATCGTCGAATAGACCTGAATCGTTCTGTTACACAGCGATCCATGAACTACTTCGTACTTGAAATAAGGACTAGTAGGGACACAAGCTGCATAGGATCTTCATTCCAAATTCGATTCCAAAAACATTAGTAACGGTGTTCTGCCTGGTGTGTCACGCACTTTTCCCAAAACGCTTCCCAGAACCATCTGGCTTCAAATGGAAACCATTACTATGGTTTCTAACCTAGTCTGACCACCAGTTTCAGTAAATCCGTTTTCAAACACATATCCATCAATCATTTTGTGGAATGATAATGGGGAAAGCGGGTCTGTATCAACGCAGGTGGTAACTTTGGTCTTCAATGAATGTGATTAAAGCCAGTCTATTCTGAAAAGCCGAGGATCGCTGTTTCTTCCTTATTTGGATACATCAGCCTCTTTGCAATGTTCCACAATGAAGAACTACCTAATTGCGTTCGAACAGCTTGACGGTTATACACAGGACAGATTTCCTTCTGGTGTTCCATTTCCCTCAACCTTCAAAGTGAGTAGTGGCTGATCGAGATGAGAATGGTAGTGAGTGCGTCAATACGTACGTTCGTTGTCCCCTATCACGAAAATCTGTTGCACACGAGCTAGTGTTACCGTGTCGCTAGCGCTCTAAAAAACAAGCCCTTCAGACTGAAGGAGACAGTGCCATAATTAAGCAACTAGAGACAAGTAAGTGTGCTCGGAATCTCCGAGACGAAACCTTGCCTGTTGCTTCTAGGCTGTGCAAGTACACGCACACACAAACGCAGATAACATTTCGGTTCATTTGACGAAAAAAGCCTAATGAGATTATCCGACAGCACCGCCCTGAGACGCACTGGTTCGTCTTAAAAAGTGCTAAGCACTGTGCTCAACTTACAATGTTTTGCCAAAGCATGAAGTCATCGCAGCGCGCTAACTGAAGTCAAAGAAAAGCATGAAGAAAAGCATGGGTGAAACGGCCTATCACCTAGCAACCCAATGTTCGTTTTCAGTGTGGTGTTCGGCTCAGTAGGAGGGCAATCATTACTTCTCGAGTTACCATTAAATCCCAGGCAAAGGTGAACGAAAAACGCAGCAGGAATTGCGAAAGATCATCAAATACAGGATGCCCCCACACACACGAAGATCTCTTCAGCGAATGGTGCAAAACTGAGTCTGTCCGTAAGCCAAACTCACGTTAAAGAAGTCATAGGAGTGGTTTTACAGTTTTCAAACGCTCCTGACGAAATACTGTGAGAAACAATAGTGAATAAACGATTATTTTCTTCTTAAATAATCTATGGACAAACCTAATCGAGGGCTTTGATAGTCAGCTCTGTCAAGCCTCAACCTCAATACAAATTCATCATCTTTACCGTCAATTCTTCAGAAATTGGATGAAAACGAGGGTGAGTTACGTGGGCGCGGTTCGGGAAAAATCCCCCGGATATGAGCTTACCTTATCTGTTCGGCGAACATGCAGTCCAGCTATTGGAGTTCCACGTGGACTGACAAGGCCGAAAGAGATCAATGTATGATTCAAGATACGTGCAAACTGTGGTGCTGGTCTCATTAGATAGGTGATAAGTTGACCAATGAACCAGACGGAGGGAGCCGCATGTAACCGCGTGAGATTCGGAGCCAAGTCGGCCGGGACAGCCGGCGGAAGCCAATTTAAGTTTGCAAGATGGCCAATGTACGGACATTCCACAATGCGCGGAGAGTTGATGGTGTTTTTGTCGAAGAAAGTGTCTACAATGGAGGAAGGGAAATAAGAGGAGGCTTTGTGAAAGCAGGGAATTAATAAACGGACAAGGCTACTTCATCAATCAACTAGTGGTTATTCTCTTCACCTTAATTGCGTGCGTTACATGACATGGGCCTGATCTCAAGTACACATGAGCTAGGGTGGATTAGAATCAGCCACTATTTCACTTGACACTGATATCAATCGCATTTCTCCTCAATTTGCAGTCTCGTCACAACTTCCAACTTGACAAAAATTCACGAGAACGCCTGGGAAAACTAATCTTGATGAAGCTGACGACATAAAAAGCAATTCTAAAGGCAGTTCGTTGTGAGCTTCAGTGTAGAAAATCCCACTAGGAAAAAGCCGCCTGAGAACATCACAAACGAGAGATTCAGATGGGTTCCAGGTGAGTCTCTCGAAAAACCAAATTAATTTGCAAAAGAGTGTATATTCGCGAAAAAGCTGTTTTGTACAAAACATTCACTGGTCTAGATCGGTTAGAAAATCGAACTGCAGTATGTACAATATATACATGAAGAATCTTTTGGGCAATTCTACTTAGGACAAAAAGAACGAGGTGTAATCACACCGCAATAGTTCTCCCTAATCCAGCGAGCCTCCTGATCGCACTGGATGGGAATATGAATTACATCAGTACAGTCTCCGATCGTGTCCGAGAAATGTGGTTTTCCAATCATTTATGTAGGGGATTCGAATATTTTTTCACAAAAAGAAAACTGTAGGCGTATTCCACTGGCTTAGTTCCGTTTTTGACTAGACTGTCTCATTTGATGATAGTTAAACGGGTGGCCGTTAATCAACAGCTAGCTGATCAACCAATAATAAATGCATTCGAGCTACAAATATTCCGTGGCATAGCCGACTTTCTGAGGCGTCGTAACCCTGTTCTGGGAGGAAGCTTCAGTTGCAATGATGTTGGCAGCAAAGATCATATCCCATTGTACCCAAACCCCTGAGAAACCAAAGCCTCTATGGTAGGAAAGAAAAAGCGTGAAAGTCATTGACGCCAAAGCAGAAGCCGGTAAGTACAGTCGTAGGTGAGCTGCTCGGTTGCAGGAATGGGGAAATGTGATGGGATTTCATCGGTTAAACATGAGGAATGGCACTCGATGGGTGCTCAGGTGTCACCTACTGGTAGGTGGAAATTGGCCGTTGGTTTTGTGAAACTTCGTCCAAAACGTTGCTCGAAACTACTACCTTCGGAGCGACAGTGGGACGATCCAGTAGACTCAGAGAGAAAGTACTTTCCGAACCCCTTGGTGAAGTGTTCGTGTCATGAACACAGTCCAACCACATTAGCGGGTTCTTCTTGGTTTGGTTTGAATCGGCTTGATCGATACTTTGGTCTTGAATACATAGAGGAAGCCAAACGCCAAAAACGTACTCCAATCACAAAATGCACTGAAGCAACCAATCCAAACAATGCCCAGAGACCTGAAGATTATGACGATCCGGGTAAACTCCACTCTTTTCGTAGTTACTTCAGAACATACATTTGCGACACATTATTTTGGGCTTCCGCTCGATAAAACAAGCAACACGGTTGCCTCAGATAACAGGAGTTGATAATTAGTATACAGCCTCGCAACTTTGAAAAAACATGTCCCGGTCATGGGTATGTAAGAGTGCTGAATATCTGGATCAGGTAATCAGTATGAGGAGAAAGGTACTTTCGTACACGCGGATCCGAAGGCAAAATTGGTGCAAAATGGTTTCTAGTACCCAGTCGTCAAACAGAAAAACGCCTCAAACAAAAAGCGTTCCAGTCGTATGCGAAGATTAGCTCTTGAAGAGCAATTCTTGCATCTTACTGTTTCGGGAAAAAACTGATAGAGTTAAGTCCCGATGCGTCTGTCAAAGTTATGGGAAACAAAGAAGCCCCCCGGAACTCCAAAGCCAGCTCACGCATTCCGTGGCATAAATGTTTCAATTGTTAACATAGGATAACGAACCGCAACGTCAGTACAGCAACCTTCTTTCATGTCGTAGATTTCAGTTGAGAATCGGTTGGACAATCGAAAACGTCTCCAACCAAAACTACCGTAAACAGTAGGCGAATGCGACTGACAAGTTGGAAATGGGGCTCGTATGCAGGTTGTCACTAAGCTGCCACATTTTCAAAAATAGGCCTGATAAAAACACATACCAATTATGGGAAAACCGCACGCTCCGTTATAGGAGAGAAATGCGGTCGTACTGAGAGTCACTGCGATCCTCTGATTGAGAGAGTAGATCTCCCAGAATCAAAGGCACGCAAGAGGAAACCGCAGAATGGAAACACCCTGCGATTGGTATATATTTGCTAGCCCACTGGGCATAGTGTGGAGAGAAAATTCCGCAAAACGATCAAGCTTTCTTCCATTCGCTAGAATATGTGTGCTAGAATGCGTGAAGATAATAATATTACTTCAACAGTGCTGTGATACACACTGAGGGCACTGAAGCAGGGATACAAACTGGAACATGAAAACTGCATTCTGACTGACTATACATGAATTCTCAGTTTTCTGTTGCTACAAACAGTAGGTCTTTATGAAAATTTTTGTTTTCAGTCAAGCTAGATGGTGCAAAATGAAACAATCCTAATGGTTTAGACGACGAGTTTCACTGCAAACAAGCGGAATTGTAAACATCTGAGGTCTCCGCCCTAGATGAAACAACATTCCATTATACACGCATAGCATCTGTTATGAACATTCAGTGACGACTGATTTTTGCTACCATAGTGTGGAGTACGTGCGAAATCTTTTTTTCACTAATCGCCTATAAAAAGGGAATAACTTCATTGGGGAGAAAGTTCGGTATCCCCCAAAGGCATCCCCTCAAAGTTGATCCAGTTCCGTTGACTGTCTCGTCGTTCCTCTCCTCGGGAGAACCGGTAATTTGGTACGGATAACACTGATATGACCCGGTACAGCTAATGGAGGACTTAAGAAGTTGTGCGTAGCCAACACCAGCGTGTCGAACAAACACGGAATGAAAACATGATCATGGTCTTATTCAAAAGGAAAAACAGAACATTGAGGCATAGGACACAATAGATTGATATAGTATCTGTGACATGGCGTTGAGTAGCTTAGAACGCACGAGCGCAATCGTTTGAATCCGTTTGTCACATCAGATCATACGTCTTTATGGAAACGAATGAATGAATATACTTTCTTCGCACGGTAACAAGATAGAGAGTAGACCCGAATGGTATTAAAAGGAACAAGACACCAGTTGGGCATACCTCATTTTACGTCTACCGTTAAATTAGTGCACATGGGACTAACTAACACATAAAGGAGGCAAGTGAAATTGCTTGGTTTGTGCTACCCAAGAAGAATACACATAAATCCACTCGAAAGACGCTGTCCCAATGAGAGACTGTAGTGTTCTCCGTTTTGTTTTTGGTGGGAGAGCTACGCTAACCAAAGTCAGGAAACACACGACCGTCTGAACGAGCATAGACCGAACAGACTCAATGCAGCTCTGGTGGCTTCTGAGGAGGAAATACAGTTCGTGAAATGAGCTGAGAGAGGTTATCTACAGAACTTTAAACATGAAAGAAAACACCCATAAAGCTGCTGGAAGATCTTTGGGACTCATAATGTGTAAACGAGTGTTTCGCCAATTTCTTATAATTCAAGTTCAAGGAGAACTTAAGGTTGACGGGGAGTGTGTCTACCTGATGAGACCCAAGAAGGGCTGTTGAAGAGTTTTCAGCAACATTATGGGAAGTTTCTTTCAAGATATCTGGAACACCGTAACAACTGAAATATAAGGTGGTCTATGTAAAATACATTCAGCTGGAGAATATCATAAAAGAGAGATTGAAGTAGGATTCGGTTCAGTATCGCGTCAAAACCAAATTGGTGCGCAAATGAGGCCGTTTGGGGAACCTTCAAACCTATCAGGAGCTTCCAGACACAAACCGTAAGTGATATGTTTCGAAGAATGATCTGTGTGACTCAACACACTGCTGACCAGCCTTCCGCGGCCCAATGGTAAAGTACTCCAACTAATAGCCAGGAGGTCACGGATTTTAAACTCCCATCTGGAGTTTCGTGAGATGTGCACTGCTGACGATTCCGAATAAGGAGGAACAGTGCGACTCGGCTACTTAACATAGACTGAGTTCACCTACCGGACGAAATTGCAGCTGAAACTTGGAAATCTCCTCACACTACCAATAGCTTTGAACCTTGAGCAATGAAAGCCAGTTCCAGATCTTGTACGTCCCCGGAGGTGAATCGCATACGATGTCGTTATTGTTAAGATGGCTAATCCAGACAACCGAAGTTACCAAGTGAAAATTTAGCCACAACGTACCGACGATTCAAGCCAGTTTATCCAGCACCGCTGGGCAGACAACCCTGTAGTGAAATACGAACACAGTGGCGATTGCATAAACGAGCTCCGCATGCGATTTCAACTTGCCGGTTGTTTGAATAATGATATTACCCATAGATCACGGGGTTCTGTGCTTTAGTTAAACTGAGATTTACATCGGTGGATACTCTCAAAGATAAAAAAAAAACAGAAAGATTGAGAAATTATGTTTGATGGCTATTCAGGCAAACACACTTCCGGTATTTTCCTGAAATTTTGGATTTCGATCTACTTATTTTCACCACACCCTGCCCTCGCAAAAGCACATACCCAGTCGAATTAGAAGATATTCGGTTTTCGAGAGAACCACCTACCCTTCATTTGCACCAAAGAGGTGCCAGATAGAAGATAGGTTCAAGCAGGGCGTGTAATCTAAGGTAAAGGTGAGTAGCGTTGAGCCTTGAAAAAAGTGGCAGTTCTTACCTGAGGAACTGTCGGCTGCTTCTTCTGAACAGGTGGACGAGAGAGGGAGGAAGTTTCGGGACCACCATTCGCCGTACCCTGTCAGTATACCGGTCAGTATTAGCGTGCGACCAGAAGCATAGGCAAGTTGTAAACAATAGGCCAAATGATGAACATTGCAACCAAAGGCACATGGCCTGGTTAGGCTGACCAGGAGCAGCTTAGCTTTTGAGCAGTCTGTGGGATTCTAGGGGGGAGAGAGAGGGAAGGATGTTGGAAAGACATATCATAATCGCCAACCAGTGAAAGGACCATTTGCGATAATTTTACTCAATTATTTAATTCGAATGCATCTATTCTACGGGCTGTTGCACATCTTCCCAGAGCCTCCTGGCTCTTCCTCGAAAAGCATCTTGGAGGACGAGAGAACGGGAAGAACTGACATTTTGGCTAATGACTGAGTGGTAATCGGTCTGTTTGCTTGCAAACGTTTCGCCATCCCGAAGAGACACTATCGGTGCACAGCTGGGTGACCTATTGGAGTTTACGTAGTTTCTAATCGGCGTGTGATATCACTAACGCAAGTAATCTGTTCGGTCTTTTGAGAATCCGGGCTGCGTTGCGGTTTGATGTATTCCGATTGGAAGATGTGCAACTAACCAATCAACAGGCACGAAGAGGGGTTGAAACGCAGGACACAACAAATGTACACAAGTCAACGGGAACGAGGAAACAGGATATCGGAAAGGAGGACGTCCAACGAACTAATCAGATATAAGCAAATCAGACCACGTATACTGCGGACTAGTAACAGACCAAAAGATCACATGTAAGCAAAACTTCTAACAACTAACCACGTTAAAGGTATCAAATAGGCTTTGAAAACTACATGAATTCAATGAGACCTGGAGGGAACTAGCCATCGAACCACACACTGACCATGTCTCCACCAAAGTTGGCCAACAAAGCAACTCTCGCTTGATCAACGGCTATTAACCAACCAATGTTGACACTAAACAAACCGTCTTCATCACCGTTTAGCATAAACAGCTAAAACAATCGGCTAGAATGAAGTTTTTAAATGCACACCAAATTAGGGGGAAGTCAGTGGGGTCAGAGAACCCCTATATACAACTGAAGTGCTATTACGAGTTAAAAAGTATACTAACATGGTTTTCGAAGACATGGAGGCCGTAGAAATTTGGAAGGAGACAGTAGTGGAAGGTTCCGTTCTGGACAAGAAGAGTTCAGTTATGCAATGGGTATGGCACTTGAACAGGGATTATTGGATGCGAACCGGCGGTCGCACAGATAAAAAAAGAATGAAGCAAACAAACCCAGAAGATGACAAACATTCCCCATAGTGAGTACTGTGAAATAAAGTTGGAGAAGTCACAGTGTAAACGTTTTTACAGTGTCACGTGTGCAAACATTCTGAAACAACCTCCGAATACGGGGCAGAGGGACTTGATCTAACCAACCACGAGCACTATAAAGCTAAATCAGATCCTTTGGATGTGCAGGCATATCAGATAATCTAAATGTCTGGTGCACGCTTCAACCGACCAAATGTAAAGTGCTACTGCAAAGCCTATTTAAAACCTTATGCTTGAAAAGCAGTCTATCGATTTTGTCAAAAAAGCCGATACCCAGTCCACTACATTGGTCGCGTCAGTTTTGACAGATGACGAGGTTACCTCTGAAAATTGTGCTGCCCCTAGCTATGAAATACGTGACGCCGACCACAAAACCACACAACTCTGCAGTGTACCTGCTTGTGTTGTTTGGTGCGGAAGCCTGACCAGTTGGCTGTTGGTCTGTTCGATGAACTTCGCCGCTGGATTGAAAACGTTATGTACCAAAGGAATAGACATTGTCAGTACGGGGTAAAATCCTCATCTTCTGCCCGCACCTGCATAGGTTTCAAACAGTATCTAATAACTCTAAATTGATTGGTTGGTGGCTGGATTTGTTGGTGGTTAACTTTGAATTTAGTTGCGTTTTAGGCTGATTTTTTGCCTTTCTTTGCACCAACAACCAAACAGCGCACCCAAACTGTCCATCTTCCGAAACAATCAACGACGTCCGAATGTTTGAAGGGTACAAAAAGAAAGCGGGAGTTTGCCGAAGCGTTGTACTCCACAGAGATATCACTCAATAAACAGACCGACATCCACCCAGTCTCTATGAACAAAAGGATTACCCAATTACCGGACTCTGAACCATATGGGAAGCCATCAAACGTCACGGCAAACGGATCAAAAAAACACTGAAAGCAGAAGGTCATCCAATCAATCAATCAGTCGAATGCAGAAAAACCAGGCTACGAAAGAAGAAGGATACAGACCAGTCGCTAAGGAGGAACAGAAAAACAGAAGTGACGGGTTCAAGTAGAACATGAGGTTGACGGGGACTCGGGGATTGCACCTACTTGATGAGCCCTAAGGAGGGCAAAACCGATGGTGGCCTATCGAAGAGTTTCCAGCAACCTTGTGAGTAGTTTCCTTTGTGAGGAGTGAAGACACTTTTAGAACAAACCAGATGCAGGGAAACTAGATCACAACGCGGCTCAAATTTCAGGTTGACCAACAAATCACGCCACCAACCAAAGAAGTTAGAGTTGTTGGATAATGTTTAGAAACTACGCACACGAAGAAAGAAGAGCAGAAATTTACCCGCCCAACCCTGCACTGATGATGTTTCTTCGGCTGGTGACGGAACCTTCAGAATCCAACTGTCAAACTCGGCGAACAGGCCAACAACCAAGTAGCACACCCGGCCTACCCATATGCTGAAACATCACCAGCTTCACTAACATGACTTCAAACTAAGCGAGAACCTTCAAAGCTTAACGTTCAAACTGGGATACTGAGGAATGACGGGTGGCTCTAGGAAACTATAACCCACCCGGGATAAACAATCTAGTTGCGATTCAAATCCCATGTCTAGTAGATCACGCACCCAGGAAATATCCGTTGATTGCCCTCCGGCTAGGCGTGTACTAGATGGACACAAACACGGCTGCGAAGCACGAATGTCTTGACAAACAAAGCATATCACATTGGCAGCTATCAGCTTTTCGGTAAGACACCCCGAGAGGACACTTGTCAGAGGTAACCATGCGAATAACCACTGCCAGTATTTCATGGTTTTACCCCTCGTGATCTAACCTTGTGATCTAACATTGCCTCCACTAAACTGATGTAAGCTGCACTCATCCGTGCGTAGTGCTCCTCCTTATCGATAGTGAATAGGACAACGGCCATCAGAAACTTAGCACGGATGGATAACTGACTGAATCGACAGATAGCATCCATATGGGAATGGTTGTGATACGGTTCCAGCCACACCCTAGATTTTATCAATCAAATACCAAAACCCATGTGTTCAGTAAACAGTTCACCTTTCCGCAGGGAAAGATAAAGCAACTGGAAACAAGATTGCTTACATACGAACATGAAAAACTGTGATTTCACTGTCAGTTCTCGAGTAACACAAAAAATGGACCATAGGAGGTGAACAACTGGCTCGCTTCTACTGGTCGCGCATGCCAAACAGGCAGATGGTCCAAGGACAAGAATGCAACGAAAACAAAGAACGGTGAGCAACCGATCAAGAGGGGCGAACCCAGGGTATGCTTGAATCCCTGATCAAACAGCTGAGGTAAACACAAAATGGGTTTTTGAAACACGAAACGTGGCTACGAAATGCGGTATGTGAAGGCCATTAACTGCAGTAAGTTGGATAAAAAGCTGAGAAGTATATCTGTCCGTTACACACAACTGACGTACACCACAAGATCAAGTAAAACGTAAGTCAAAATTACTCGTTAGAATATCGGCACCACCGGGAACATTCTAGCCAATCTAGCTTTCAGAGGGCTTCCACACAGTCTGATTCGTCATAATTTACAAGTCCTCATCGGATACTCAATCACGACGACACACGAATGAACATAAACAGTAAGATGCCAACTGGCGAATCAACACGAACTGACGTCAGGTAGCCACTGGTCAAGATGGATCACTAATCTTCCTGCCCAATTCATCATTTCCTACTGTTGTATTCGTATCCAGACTCACAACCTTGACTAGCAGATTTATTTCAACCGCCATTACTTCTAATCGATAACTGATTGAGGCCCGTTGAAGTCTTTCTCGGATTGCACTTGCCCTGCGTACTCATTCGTGGTCGTGTGTGACCGATAGGGTTGGACAAAGCGACACTGTAAAGTAATTACTGAATCACTTCAATTGTGTGCCAAAAATTCAGGAGACGATGAGGTTTTTTTTTTGTTTTTAGGAGTTTGTTAACAGCTGACGTACGACTTGAATGGAGGAAAAGCAACATTTACAACATCAAAACAACACAGCTTATCTGAATCGGTTCTACGAAAGCTCAGACAGCAGTTGCACAGACTAAACGCACCACACGGTAATCGATCGCTATTCACCTAGTCAACACTTCAGTGTTGCGCGACCTTGATAAGTTGTCCAAAGATCGACTGAATACCCGAATCCCCAAACGTCCGTGAAGTAATTTGAACGAATGTGCAAGAAGTTAACCTAGTGCGGTTAAAAAGTGCTGACCCAAGAAACATCGATTCTTGAGATAATCCCACCGAAACTTCACGAGCAAAGCGTACAGTCGATTGTCTAGAACAGAGTAGTCTCCCGAACAGAGACCAGTTGGTTGACGGATGGTATCCCTCACGATCCTATGATCGAATAACTGTTATATCTGCTTATTCGCCAATCTGAGGTATCTGCTGATGACTCTCTCCAGTGCCTAGTGCCGGAGAAAAAAAGACTCACGGAAGGGAACACAACAGCTATATTCCGAACAAGCGAGTGCGAATGTACAACGGTCTCAAGCTATTTATTGGAGGTACAATGTCCGAACTTGGTCCAATGCTGACGTACGCGGTCTGGCCTTGGTACGAGGCTGTGATGTGCTGCATATTGAGGGGGCGTTGTCTGTCTGGTCAACATCTAGCAGAGCTGAGAGTCTCGGTAGATTTCGGGCACTCAGTGGTTGCATTCAGGAAGCTGACCTTCCTGATAATGACAAAATACGTGCCTATAGTTTTGGCGATAACGATGTGACGGAACGCTGGAGCACGCGGAGCAATATTGTGAGCCCTGATAAGAACCGTTATATTATGAACATCTCCCCTACAAAGCACCAGCTTTGTTGTTCAACAACGTGACGAATGTTGTACAATGCCATGAGAAAGCCTTGTATTTAAAGATGCCGACCATATAAGCATTACAGACCCGCTTTCGAGTCAAAGCTTCTGTGTGATGCTAGTATACACGTTTCCGCTTACTTCAACAACAACAACAAAGGTAAGTACAAACTTACGTGTGTCCCACCAAAGGGATAGTGCATCATGGTGACAGCAAGAGTACCGTAAACTGAGATTACTTTTAATCAAAGCAGACTGCATGCTCTAATATCGATACACGCATTCCGATCGTTCCTACTGAACAAACTTTTCCAAAAGTACTCAGAAAGTGGCTTGTTGTCAGGACGACCCCAGATAGAAAAAACAAGTGTGCAGAGAGTGACGCACCATCCGTATGATGCGTTTCGATAGCAGGTGCGTTAACAGAGCACACCAAACACGGCTTAGCAACATAAGACCAGTGGAGTGGGGCTGAAGCTGTTCACGAGCGGAACACCACCATTGGTTGTACAGAACAAACAAGTGAACGATCATATTTGGCCATTTAGTCATCCTATATATTTGCGCAGAAGCTCTGTATGTTTTGCCCCGATAATACAGCCGTGTCCGGAGTTCTCCGTCTTCTCCTTGTCGCGTAGTCTGGCAGGCCCAGTGCAGGCGTAACCGAAAGACGGCCACCCACGACACAACACTTGTCAAAGATTTCCGAGAAGTACCAGAACTCAAAATTTTGATACGGATGGTTCGCAGTGTTGTATTATGAAGGAGCGGATACACTGGCGTGCAAGCATCTCCCAAAAGAGATCGACTCGCACAAGGGTATCTGTGGTCCCTCGAGAGGAGTCAACTGCACGACTATGTCCTTTAAATGAAGTCACATTGGTCAGCTCCTTCAAGTAGTCGCTCAAGACCAATTGTGAATGTGTGGAGAGATCGCGTGTGTCAAGAGGTCGCATGAAGAAATGCACCAAAGACAATCGTTTTCGAGATGCGATAATATTCTAGAATCGACTTAAACATGGAAAGAAGTTCCAAGGAACACTACAAGAGGTTCTATCTGAGGGGATAAACCTCAGACTAAGGTGTGGTTGTTTTTAGAAAGCACAGTGTAGAGCTTTCATCTGTTTCGGGGGGCTAATTTTGATGCCATGGCCTTTTTTGGATGTCGGATATTAG